GAAATAAAAAAAAAAGTGACTAGCTATGTGTTCTTCCACACTATCCTCTACATCTATGGCAACTTTCATCGAAATCCATTTATCCGTTTAGGCTACAAACTCTTACAAACATCCATTCATCTAAACTTTGGCATTTGTAATATTAGTAAGAAGTATGATTTAAACATACCATGTTTAGGACAATTCGATATAATAATTGTATAGTAATTTTCTTAATTGATGCTTTTTGGTACATAGGATTTGATCTGCGAGCTGGAAGTGTGGCTTGGCGCGCCGGGCGGGCTGATCAAGTCGCTGCTGGAGCACCTGCTGGAGCTGGCCACGGAGACGGCGCACCGAGCGCACAACCTGCGCACCATGCGCGACCTGCAGCTCGTCTCCCGTCTCCTGTACATCATCAGCGACGCCAGCGCGCGCCCGCCAGCCACCAGACACGTCCTCATACAGCTGCTGGCCGCCTTGCTCGCCGGACAACCTAGACCCAACGATTTACTCTGCCTAGGACAGTTCATGGCATACACGCTACCGCTGCCTTCACAAACAGAAAAGGGTTTGAACTTAATCGAGAGCGACAGCGAGAAGGAATGCGAAGGCGAACTTGTCTTACTACGGAACAAATGCTTTAATGTCCTCCACGGGTTGTTATTCACCGCGAGGAATCTCGTCAATACGATAGTCTGCGAGGAGATCTCGCGCGTACTCGGCCTCGACTGGCTGCTGAGCTTCATGCAGGAGAACGTACATCCCACCACGGTCCTGTGGGCGCTCAGGATACTTGTCATACTCTGCTCGGGACAAGGACAACCTTCTTCTATTATGCAAAGGTGACAAATTCTTACTAATATTATAAATGCGAAAGTTTGGATGGATGTTTGTTAGAGTTTGTAGCCCAAACGGCTGAACGGATCTCATTGAAATTTTGTACAGATATAGAATATAGTCTGAAAGAACACAGTCTAATCTTGTATTTTTATAATTCCACGACGACAGAGTTGCGGTCGAAAACTAGTATTAATAAATGTAATTTCAGTTGAGTTTAGAAGTTCAGTAACATGTCAGAGTACTTTTTGTAATGAAACAGATTCCGCGAGGGCGCGGGCAACGGCGGCTGGGTGCGGCACGCGGAGGGCAGCGCGGCGCCGCAGCAGGCGGGCGTGGTGGTGGCCGCCGCCGTGCGCTCGCACGCGCACCTGCACGCCGCGCTGCTGCACACGCCCGGCTTCACCCTGCTCACCTGGTACACACACACACAGTCACACACACTCACACACACCACCTCCACATTAGTAGTATTTAATTTGGTATAAACAGGTACTCAACATAATACTTTAAAAGATTGACAACGACGTGTTGTAGAACAATTTTTTTACGAAAAAAAGAAAGCCGACTTTAAAATTGTCTAAGTGAAATTATTCTCAACGAAATGTAATGTCATAAATGTTCTCGAAAGACGGAGACCTTTTTTCTTTTTTTATGTTATAACGGAATCGGTATTGACGGAGGTGGACCTTATTATCTGAGATGTGTTACTATATCTTACGACTTACAAAAGGCGAAGTTTATATGGATGCATGGATGTGTTGTTTGTTAGAGTTTGTATGGTTTCGATGCCATAGATGTAGATGATAGTCTGGAAGAACACATAGACTATATATTTTTTTTTAATTCTATGCGGACGGAGTCACTGGCGACAGTTAGTTTTTAATATATGCAATTACTTATAGAGCCAGGTTGTGTAACATGTACATATCGTGTCAGGTTGCTGCTATACCACCTGGAGATCCCGGAGTTGTACTACCTGGTATTCGGTCTGATGCTGGGGCAGCCGATGCGCGCGGTGTGCTCGGAGCGCGCGGTGTGCGTGGACCGCGTGTGGAGCGCGGCGTGGGGCGCCGCCGCCCCCGCGCGCCAGTCGCCCGCCGCCCTCGCCGCGCGCATCACGCTCTGCGCGGAGCCCGCAGTCGCGCTGCTCGCGGCCGCGCGCGCGCTCGTGCACGCAGACCCCGCGCCGCCCGACTGGCTGGCAGACCATCCAGTCGCTATTGTACAGGTATATCAACTGCATCTATATCGCCCTACGCACATACTACAATTTAGTAACAACCCTTCAAGAATTTCAATTTAAACTTTCCTTTACTTCACTTTATTTTCAAGATCTTGGTCTCAATTTGCAGGAAAAGGTTGACGATCACCTATACTAATATATTGTAAATTTATACAAAAATACAACCCAATAACGTAACCAGGTGCTGTTTTCTCTGTACAATACATTGCCTGACTTCGTGGGCATCATGATGACAGCGGAGGTGCTCACCGCACTCGCATCTACACTCTTCCCTCCGCACACCTCCGATGACATACATATGCGTAAGTCTAAGTTTAATGCTTCCTAAAATAGTTGTTAATTCTTTATTTAAGGTGATATTTTTACAGCAATTTGTGAGAGTGGAGACAGCTCCGGCGCATCAACGCCAGGGTCTGAGAAGGAAGTGGTGATACCTTCTGGCGGGGCCCTGACCACGCACCCCGTCAGGGCGGGGGTCATGGACTTCCTCAAGGTCATCGTGCTGGACTCGCTGTCCCTGACCGTCACCGGCAAGTCCTCGCCGGTATGGCTATTCTAACGTTATTCTAATAAATTTTTAATTATTCTATTGGACAAGGTCTCTTGATGGAACTAATTTTCTCATACGAAAATTAATATTGGCCTAACAGTGAAACCTAATACCACGAAGAAATTGTTACATTTCATAGAAAATAATTGTGATGCAATCTTTTATTTCAATTAATATTTATTTAAAAAAATTTATTTTATGAGCACTTTTTTAAAGTTTTGTTGCAGCTTTGTTATTTGTTTGATTTGATGTACAACGAAATACTAACAACGAATATTTAACTCTTTATTTGATGTTGTGAGTGATTGCATGTATTGTATGCAGGATGTCCGTTAAGAATCAACCTGTATAACGCTAATAATGGTCAAAAATATGAACCGTTAATTCTTTTGTACGAAAATACACATATCAGTCGGTAGTACTGAATGTGTTGAAATCTAAAAAAAGTGATATAACAGTTAGCGAAGTTGATGTTGATTTCTAGAGCCCCGCGGCCGCCGACGCCGCGACCTCCTCAATGTTTTGTGCGCCTTGTAGCCCGTGCTCAGCTCCGCCAAGATCATTCTTTTATTGCGTAAATATGCGGACATTGATTTATTACCACATGTAAAGCTTATGCAACTCGATATACATGTAACATCCTAAATTAGACAGAAAATAATACGAAATAAATGTTATTCTAGTATTTGAATTTCCTTCTAAGCAAAATTATTACTTTTTCGTCTGTAAAAACCGTCAATTAAAAAACTATTGAACAAAGTCTTAAGTATCAAAATTACTTTAAAAATACATTTATCAATCTTCAGAAGAAGTCCAAATGTTAGAATGCATTGTTTATTTTGTATTTAAGTTGTCTAAATTGGGTGTAAATTTTACATTCATCAAAATCACCTGCTAATTAACTTCTAAATGCTGAAACCGCTTCGTGTCTGAATAACAACACAATTTATGTTTTAATTACTAAATACTGCTTATACTAATCGCCAATAATCAAATTATTATATTTCAATTTTTTAAACAATATTTTATTTCTCTATTTTTAATCTGTTCTATATTTTAATTGAATTTTAAGTTACTTTCTATATCAAATTAGTTTTTTTTTTAATTTAAGTTATAGTGTACATATGAAAGTTTAAACAAAAATATCAAATTTACATACTTTAAAAAATCTTATAAAATTAAAAACGATTCCTAATTACTTTGTGACTAACTGCACGTAGCGCAGAAAGAAACTAACATCAGCCTTAGTTTAAACAAATCAAATAAAACATTTTACATTTTAGGTGATAGATTTGGTGCTGGACGCGTCACCGCCGAATTCAACGAGCCAACAACAAGTTGAATACCAAACGGAGGTGTTGACGACTGTAATGGAGAATCTGTTGAACACGGAACTATTTAGTACTGAGTCTAACATCTCCAATGTATGCTACCTCGCCGCGAGACTCGTCGACAAGTTGTGGCAGGGACAGCTCTCTAGAGATCCTCATGAAGTAAGTTATTGATATAAATTCATCAGATTATGCTAAAAACAGCATTTGTGTTAACTAACCATAAAAAATGTACAGTATAATTGAGAACCTAAGCAACAAAGGCTTGAAACTTTTGAAAGAACCTTAAACATTTGAGATAGTTAATTTTTGAAAATGTTCGATTTCTTTGCTTTAGGTTTATGAGATAGAATAGTTTAAAATAAAAATGTCGTTTGTTTTTCTAGGTGTTCGACTTCATAGTGAAACTTGTGACGCAGGCGAAAAAGAAGTCATCAGTGATATCTCTGGAGGGGCTGCACCACTGCCTCAACCGCACCATACTGTATCTGCTATCTCGCTCTACTGACTCCATCGCTGACCAGATGTCCGTTCTTGAAGCTTTGCACAAATTAACTACCAATAGGTAATCTAGTTCAATTTATCTAGATCATTTTATCGTAGTATCTTACTTCTTATCTTACTAATAGTATAAATGCGAAAGTTTAGATGGACGGATGTTTGTTAAAGTTTGTAGCCTAAACCGCTGAACGTATCTCGATAAAATTTGGCATATATATGTAAAGGATAGT